TGACAAAATAGGGAAACGATTAAGTTTGCAAAATCACTCGGTTATGTCAGACATTTAAGAAATTTATTAAAATATCTTCCCAAACAGTAATTATTGAATTATACGAGAAAGTACGTGATGTTGTAGTACCATTAGTTGTGTACATGTTCTTGTAATCATGTCATTCATGAAAAGGTCCTATCGTCCTCTTTTGATGGTTCTGTCCTTCCTCGAAAAGTGTCCTTTTCTATATTTTAAAACCAATCTGTTTATCTCTGTATTCAGAGATGCCGCACCGAACTGTGACGATACCGTTCAGAAAGACGCGATTACAGGTCTGGCAGCGACTCTGTCGGTTCTCTCGCTGAGCTGTGGTACCGTCGTGTGACCTGTTCTGAAGCAATCAGCTAGGATTAGTTTACTTGCTCAAAGCCAGGGTTCAGCGTTGCTGCTCACCTTACTCGCACGGATCAGATGCGATAAATTTCGGCGTTGGCGAAGGATATGAACATTTATCAAGACGGGTAATATCATGTCTGTAAATGTTAATGTTTTGATATTTAATTTATCTGTCATGAAGGTGGTGCCCATGGGCGTAGTAATGTGAGGCAACAGCGCATCGAACTGTGAGTCGCTTGCAAGCTGCCGGTACTGTATCGGTGGAATTCCCCCAGTTTTCAGTGCTACTTGTACAGCGAAAAAAAAAAAAAATTCCGCGGACAGCGGAAAAAAGATGGAAAGGAATTGAGTATGCAGAAAATCAGCGGAATTTTAATTATTCACTATTAATTTTGTTACAAAAAATATTTTGTTCTAAAAAATTAAAGTGTATGTTCGAAAAGTATTAATAACGTTGATGGTGGTTACTGTGAATCTTTTGTATCGGCAGTATATCTACATCTATTGCATAAACAGATAGAATCGGAGACTATTATAGTAGATAGTATACTATTCCCAAAATACCTTTTTTCACAATAATTGTTGTGAATCATTTTTCATTCTTGATGTTTTCGCAAACTATACACAGCAACTATTGTTGGGAGCATATACAGATGATCTTGCTCAGAAATGTCCTATATATTGTTAGAAAGTATATATTGACTAAAAATATCCATTCAATAGAAAAAAATACTTGTTTAATTATATAATTAAATGAGACGTAAGCATAATTAGTTTATCTTTTAATTAGTTTAATATTTTTGTTTGAATTAATAAAATGCTACACATTAATTTATGTTGTACTTTCTATCAAATTTTGTTCGTCCTGTTAATTGTAAAAAAATGTTCATGTTAATTAATTGCTTTTTAATTTGTTGTCTAGCTTCCTGTAGTGATCAAGATATTCACTACTGGTATTTGCCAAAATGATGTCCGAGAGGCACTGGTTAAATCTGTTAGAACAACCGCCTTCGTGAGCTTGTTCGCTAGTCTTTCACTTGGATTGACATGTGTCTTCAGGTAGGTGGAATCTGTTGACATAATGAAAAAAAGGTAAATTTGTTGAATATGAATTTGAATACTTAACGGGACAATATGTTAAAAAGTATTATTTTACATTTTACTCTTGAGATACGGCAGTTTTGTTTGCCGTGGTAATGAATTGGGAAAGTTTCGTAGCCAAATAAATTATTTACAACAAAGAATGAGTGGAATCACGCAGATTATGCCACATCACCTAGATATACAAGACCTAAGCAGTCATTGAAGTGGATGCCTAAGAAATCCATTCTAACTGGAATGCGATGTAAAATTGTATACAAACACACACGCGCGCACACACACACACACACACACACACACACACACACACACACACACAGTATTTAGCGTAACTCCCAACACCATCTCCATCAGGTTTTTGTCTAGTTTTCCTGATCAGTTTTGTTATCTGAACATCAGCTAATTTGCGTATTGTTCATTTTCAATGAAACATGCCATTGCGGATTTGAAATACAAGAATACATTGAAGGCGTTTTTCCTTCGTTAACTATTAATTCATTACAAAACCAATTTGAAACTATTTATTGTTTCGTACTATTTATTGTTTCGGTTTTGCAAAGAACATTTGTGTCATTGGCAAATAGAACCGTTCTTTTTAATAGACGACGGCATATCGTTTTCGTGTAACAGAAAGAGGATAGGACCTAAGATCGATCCTAGCGGGACCCCATATTCAATTGCTAAAGAATTGGAAAGATAAGTAAATAATGTTTTTTTGTGTCAGAATGGTCTTTCTACTCTTTGAGTTCGATGTTTAGGGTACGAGGATATCCAATCTAGGGTGATACCACGAATATCATGAATGTAATTTTGATAGCAAGATATTATGGTCAATAACGTCAAAAGCTTTCGTAAGATCTAAAAATACGGGTGTTTAAAGGTAGGTACACAAGGTTTTAATAAATAATGCGTAAATTCATCTAAACCAGATGAATATTTATTTTTTAGTATACTGACCATTCTCAGAATTTCGTTTGAAGTAGTTTCTGAAATAAACATCGTGTGGAACATTTTTGGGGAAGGCAATGATGTTGAATTTTGCGGTTTTAAGTCTCTTCCGGAGTTCAACCGTATGTATATGTCACATAACTTCTGATTCCATTTGCAGGAATCTCCTGGGCTGTTACACTGAGTACACAGCAGCTCTGGTTCCTACTGCTGTAGGAGGCTTGTCAATTTTATTGGAACACCCTAAGCACTGGAATCCCTCAATGGTCATGCTTGGAAACGCAGTAAGTAAAACCTCCTGCATACTGTATGTAGTACAGAACAACAGTATATACCTTAAAATTGCATTACGAATGCCTAAACAATCAAATGATTGATTCAAGTACCTCTCGCAGAATGAAGACTTCGAATTAGTGATGATTTTGTGCCGTAATGTTCAGAATATTTTCAAGTGAAAATTTTGTTTATCTACAACTATATGAAGAGGCGGATGCTCATTGTTATCCGCACTTAAAGTAGATCATTTTTCATATTAATTGAAAAATAACATTTTTAAAAATATCCATCAAAATAGGAATTACCAAGACGATTGACATGTTATCGTGAAAGTATTTCACGCATGGAAATACACTAAAGAGCCAAAAACAACTGGTACAGCCAAGCATATTGAAATAAAGATTGGAACCAATCAGAACGGCTCTCCGGTCGGCAACGGCTATATAATACAACCAGAATCCGGCACAGTTGTTAGATCGGTTACTGCTGCTACAATGGCAGGTTATCACGATTTAAGTATGTTTGAACGTAGTAATATAGTCGGCGCAAGAGAGATGGGACATAGCATCTCCGAGGTTGCGATGAAATTTGGATTTTCCTGTACGACCATTTCACAAGTGTACCGTGAATTTCAGGAATCCGGTAAAACATCAAACCTTCGACATCGTTGCGGCCGCGAAAATATCGTGCAAGAACGGGACTGACGACAACTGAGGAGAATTATTACACGTGATGGAAGTGCATCCCTTACACAAATTGTTGTAGATATCAATGCTGGGCCATTGATAAGTGTCAGCGTACGAACCATTCGACGATACATGATCGATATGGGGATTCGGAGCCGAAGGCTCAATCATGTATCTTTGATGACTGCACGGCAGAAAGCTTTACGCCTCTCCTTGGCCCGTCAACACTGACTGACTGGAAACACGTTGCCTGCTCTGACGAGTCTCATTTCACATTGCTTCGAGAGGATGGACGTGAACGAGTGTAGCGACAACCTTTTGAGTCCATGGACCCTGCATGTCAACAGGGGTCTGTTCAAGTTGGTGGAGGTACTGTGATGGTATGGGGCGTGTGTAGTTGGAGTGATACGGGACCCCTGATACATCTAGATACGACTCTGTCGGGTGACACATATGTAAGCATACTGTCTAATCACCTGCCTCCATTCACGTCACCGGGAAATATGGTTCAGGGCATCAACTGATGTCACTGCAGTCCCTCTGTCCTGAGGATTCTAGGTTGGAGTCCCGGCGGTGGCAGGATTTTCGACACTAGCTTGTCAGCTAGGTCGAATTCAGTCGCTGACTGGAGGAGAATTCTTCTGCGCACTTAAACTAACACGCACTGCACAAGCACACATGCCGGGCGACCGCTTGTTCCGGATGGGACTGTGCCCCATTGGTGGGAGATACCTGATAGGGGAAATCTCAGCTATCCGACGGTAGTTCGGCGCCAGATCTCGCCATACAGCGAGGGAAAGATCACCGCCCTCCCGAGCAATAGAATACACTACACATACGATATTAATGACCCCGGATTCACCAAAATAATCAACCCATTCATGTTCATTGTGCATCCCGAAGGATTTGGACAATTCCAACAGGACAATGCGACAGTCCAGAATTGCCACAGAGTGGCTTAAAGAACAATCATCTGAATTTTTTTTACTCTTCCATTTGCCGCCAAAATTCCCAGACATGAACATTGAGTATATCTGGGATGCATTGCAACATGCTGTTCAGAAGAGATCTCCACCCTTTCATACTCTTAAAGAGTTTATGGACAGCCCTGCAGGATTCATGGTTCATTAACTACAACACTACTTCATACATTAGAAGAGTCCATGCCACGGCGTGCTCACGAGAGCCCTACTAGATATTAGGCAAGTGTACCAGTTTTTTTGGCTCTTCAGTGTATAACGAAGAGCTTAGTGATGCTTTCGCGGCTCAATTAACTGTACTGATATTTCCCAAAATATCAAAAACATTCCGATATAAAAGTCTCAATGGCACCAAGCGACGAAATTATAAGTGTTCTTAAACATTAAAGCCATTCATTTGTATTGTGTTTTTGGACAGCTTCTTTGAAATATGTTCTATTCAGTTGAAGCGCTTACACCGAGTATCTGGGAATCTGATAAATCCCTAACGCGGAATTGTCAATTGTACGTCGGCGAGGGAATTGCGTCGAACCAACGAAGTTCAAAAAGTTACTTTTGCTGGTAATCTTCAGGTACTAGCTTCTTCGAAACGCGTTGCCCGCAATAAACACTCTCATGTCTACATGTGCAGCTGCTGGAAAGAATTTTGTTGGTGGGGGAACGAGAGACGGGGCTTCTCTTGACTCCCGCGCGGCTGACTTACCTCTTCATGGCAAGCAGTGGAGCGCTGTTGTATTTCCTACGCCAGACTGACTTCCGCAATCTGCTGCAAAGTGTCGATACTCCTTGGTAAGTATTGCGCATTAATTATCGCACTATAATACCATCAACAATTTCCAAAAATATTCTACGTCATTTGAAATTTGTCAAAACTATCCTAAATTTTCAAGATTCCAAGTATTTTAAAAGGTTCTTCAGTTCATTTCCACGTGTTTCAATTTTTATACCCCAACATGAAATTTAGCTGAATTCTTGTTGATGATCCAGATTAGTATTCTCGTTTTAAAGTTTCAATTGTTTTGGAATAAGGAAGACTAATGATGATGTGAGTAGTTTTGTGAGAGAATATTTTACGTATGCGCCAAGTAAACTAACATATAATTAGCAATATCTTTGCTTGTAACGAACTATGGCAATTCCTAACAAAGTAGTATGAGAAGTTGAGAAAACATCATTTATATTTGAGATTTTATTTTTATCTCTGTAAATGTTTATTTTTGTCGTTTCAAGCAAGATGAGGAAGGTGAAAATTGCGTCACATACTTTTCTTAGATACTTGCGACACTTTTTTTTATTTTGACGTAAATGTCATGGTTAATTGATATATTTGGTCAAATAACAGTGCAACTGTACGTGACGTATGGGGGAAAAGGTTCAAGAACACTTTGGAGAATCTTCGCAAATCCACATCTACACTCTTGGCTGTTTTTTTCACTTCTCGAGCTACAACTAGCAAAGCCAGCCACAACTAAAAGTTATAACTATACATATTAACGCATGCGCGTAAAACAACCTATCGTCAACACAGATAAATGATACTAAACAATAAACCTTATAACAAATATCAAATAAAATAAGATGGACTGATAGAAGATTAAGTAATGCATTTTTAATGTGAATATAAGTCTGTTTCATAACTACATTTATATCAAAGATTTTGTTTTTGTCCTTTGCGTTTCCGAATGTTTTTGGACTGGTTTGGACTGGTTTGGACTGGTTTGGAAATCGCATTTCTCTTCACCAAGAAATTACATTGGGATTTGACTCATTCTCTCTCTTCATAACTCAATGGTGTCAATTCATTTTCCGAAATGTTTTTCTCTTTTATTGAAACCTTTAACCTTTTCATTCGAATACCCTTCAAATATAACTTGAAGCACTTCATTTTTCACCTAGTGATTAATTTTTAGAGTTTAGATTTTTTGATTTGCCCATATAAATCATTTTTGCCCTGATTGAAGTATCTGGAATATGCAGGTTCTTCTATCCGCCATCGATGGAGCAAGGAAGCAAAGAACGAGGCGACAATGCGTCTCAACGCTTGCACAAAGAGGTTAAGGTACGTTGTGAATAGTGAAAATTGGAAAGCATGGTCGCATTATTCAAACAGTAGATATGTCAATAGATCTTTCTTTATTAAGATCTCTATAACAAAACAATAAAATTGCACTCTGAATTATATTCTATAGTAACTCGATTTCCAAAGGAGGAGAACCACATTTTGTTAATGTATCTTAATTGAAACTTCATCCAAAAAAGTTAGTAAGAACGAAATTTCCCACGCACAGGATCAATGGAAAGAATATGAAGCAGTTGCTGAGATTAATGAGACCTATGAATTATTGAATACATATTTTTAAGCTAGTCAGTCATGTGTTATTCAGAATCACGACACGAGCGTGCTCAATTCTGTGATCAGTTTTTGGATGACACTGCAAACCCTGTTCTTTTCTCATTTTGCAAGCTCGTTTGAGTGCTTTTGAACGGTTGAAAGCACTAGCGACTCCTCGTCAAGGAAAAACATGTACCCACATTATGTTGAAAAGATTTCAGCATTTGGTACACATTCAGATAACAAACCTCCCATTACCGATGCCTATTTTTGGGCAAACGGAGAGTGGTGCAACCGTGTTCACGCTGCAATAACTCCAACGAACTTTAAATGATTAAGTTGGAACTTATTGTAAACAAAGTGAAAGATGTCATCTTAAGGTTAGTGTGTGTACAAAGCTATAGAGTCAACCTACGAAATTGAAACGAAAGTGCAAAACTCTTGTTGACTTGACTTGCTGCGACAAACTACGCTCACATGTATGTATATGTTAGATTAACCTCATTGAGTCCCTTTGTGGAGTACGAAAGAGTCTGTGTTGATTCCGCAGGCGACGGGACGCTTGCTGGCGGCGGGCTTCGCGCTGCAGATGCTGCGGGTGACGTTGAAGAACGTGCGCAGGCCGGCTGCCATCGCCGGCTTCCTCCGGCGCTTCGACACCTACCGCCTCAGCCTCTTCCTCGGCGGATACTCCCTTCTGTACAAGGTAGACTTCATTTACATATTTTCTGAATTTGACGATGGTCAGTGTTCTGATCCAAATGTCACTTTCAAGATAAAAGAAGCATAATAGCAACTTGGAGACAAACATTAAACAAAGAATTAGAAATTCTTTTTGAGAGTATGAGAAGAGAATTTTTTAGTTGTTTCCTTCAGTGGAAGATGGTGGCTGCGTTTTCGCTAAGCTCAGCCTCCACGATGTTGGGGTTGACTTATGAGTTTTTTTCTTCAGTTTAAGGGGGTCGCAGTGTGTAGCTGCGCCGAATCTTCACTGTGACGGTGTCGGCTTGTGAGTCGTTTCCTTCTTTGGAAGGTTGTGGCTGAATTCAGTCTCTACGATATTGGGGTTGGCTAGTGAGTTGTTCCCTTCAGTGGAAGGTTGTGGCTGAATGTGCACTGCGCTCTGTCACCACGATGTCGGGGTTTGCTTGTGAGTTGTTTCCTTCTGCAGAAGTATTCGGCTGAGTGTGCGCCAGTCTGAGGCCAG